CGTTTAGGAGAAAATTCATCACTTGATTCGTAACTGCGGATAGCAAAGCAAACATCTTCATATATTTGCTTTAAATAACAATTATTATAAGAAGATCTTTTTTTCTGAATCCTTGGAATCTTTAGAACCAAAGATATCATCTTTGAAAATGAAATAACTCATTTTAACTATATTATCAGTTCGTTTCTTTGTTAATTTGGTTTGAACTTTTTGTTCTATTATTGAACTAAATGCTTTATAACTTGAATCAAGTTCAATCGATGACATCGTTTAAAAGTTTACTAGATAATCAAAATCTGATATTTCATTTAAATAATTTCAACAATAATACAATAAGGGTCACCTTGGATGTTTATTAAAGAAAATCAATCAAATCTTTAATTATGTATATTTTCAATTAAATAGCTTAATTAAATAATTTAATTCGGAAGAAATAAAATAACACACTAAAAAAGAAAAAACCTAGATTTCATAGCTATAAAATAGTTTTTATTGTAAAATTTCAAGTTGTAATTAAGCCTGTCTGTCAGTGAATTGTTCAATATAATAACCATTTTTACCAGATCCAACCCTATATAATTTCTTGATCATTTTTTTAGTTTTTTAATTGATCAATTAATATATAACTTGTAAATAATTTTATTTATTTGTAAAGTGCCAAAATATATAATTTTTGACTCCTCTGAATGTTTTAAATCTTACTTTTATTTTTCATTGTAATTGAATAGGATTATGATTTCATACAAGTAAAAATACTTTTTTCAATAATTTAAAAACTTCCTATTTTCTAATTTACAGCCAAACTATAACTTCAAAAGAGAGTGAGGACATTTTTAGACTTAACTTTGCCATTGATAAATACAAAAAAGGCCAGCAATATGATGTAGCTTTTTCTATTTTTAAAGATCTAATGAAAGATCAATATTATTCGAACTCTAACGATGAAAGTAAAATTAAAATCTACAATCAAGCTACATATTATTCTGCACTTTGTTATTTATATGAGCATGGTGTAGAACAAGATAAGGCTTATGCTTTAGATATCACAGATAATTTACATAATAGTGAAGATGTTTGGGATATTTATCAAGAACTGATTGAAGATGATGAGATAAAATTGACAGCATTAATTAAGATAGCAAGCTGCTATAACAAAAAAATTATCCAAAGCGAAAGCCTTGCATTTAAAATAGCATTAGAACTTTATAGTAAAAACAAATATAAAGAGTCATATGAAATTTTTTCTAAACTTAGTTCTAGTAAAAATGATGTGATTAAATTTCTTGCCACATGTTTTAAAGCATCTTACTATATTTCTGGATATAATAACATCAAAAAAGACAAAAACCATGCTACCATGCTATTAGGTGCAAGCCTGAAATAAATTAGGTTAATGCCAACGAAACTATAAAATTTATAAATACGTATATTTATTATTGTTTTTTTTTATTTATATACTCAGTTAAGAAAATATCTTTTCCTGAATAATTTCTTAATTAAATTATTATTCTCAAATAATTTTATATTGCCTTTAGTTATATTTCCACATTTATAATATAAAAATTTAAATCGTATGTTTCTTGAAGCTTTCTTGAAGCTTAAGTATTTGAGTTCGAAATTCGAGATTGATGTAACTTGTCTCAAATTTTCTATTGCATTATACACAGTTATGTATGGAAGAGATGATAGAGCCAGCTTTACCACAAGGTGAGCTATAGTGAAATGAAAGATAATCATGAAAGTCTTAAATAGCCTTGAATAAAAACATTCTCCCCTTTCACTGCAATTCATCATATTCAACTTCCATTATCTCATCTGATTAAACATAATATTCAGTTATTAGAGCTTGGATTGTTAAAAAGTAATTCTTAAGTCTGTTATTTTTGTTTACCAGTATATATATCATCATCAATAAAAGAATCTGAAGTGTCATAATTATCATCAGTATAATCATCTATTTCTTCAATTTCTACTGTGTCATCTTCGATTTCTATGATTTGTCCACAGTTTACGCAATTATTACCTACAACTAATTTAGAAAAAAATAATTTAACTTAGTTACTCTTTTTCCACTATTAACTTTTTTTGACATTTACCTTCGGTGCTCCAATCCACTGGTTTTGTTTCTGTTTTTGAATTGTCAAAAAAGTTTCTTCACAGATTAGATTTTGCTTTAAACTCTTGATTTTTTTTTTCAAGACGTATTTCTTCATCTGATGATTTTATTCTTATAAAATAGTCTATTATGTCCTTAATAACAAAGGAAAATACTGGTGTTGCCCTTGAAATTAAATCCAGCATTGTTAGTGCAGGTACAAACAAAATTGGATTATGTAGAGGTTCAAGTCCCCGTCTGTTAAACCAATAGGTATTTTAAGAGAATATTACAATTCTAATTAAAATCTCTATCTATTTTAACTTTGTAGTGTTTACAATGTTTGCTTCAATAAATGATTTTGCCATACGTTTAAGAATGTAATCCAAAACAGATCATGAAATACAATATTAGCGATTAAAGAAATTTTATACTTACTAAAAATATAAATAATAAAATTTAGCAAATTGAGTAAGGAAGTATGATATATGTATAATTGACATACTGTAATTTTAACACAACATGTCGGACATTTTTTTTGTTTTTTGAACTACAAATGATAAGTATATTACATTTTAAAGTTGACTAAGAATTAGTTAGAGAAATACTCCATACCTACTTATAAAGGCAATGGTAACAAAAAGTATAACCGCATGAAATGGTACAAGGATTTGACATATATTCAAGGCATATTGTACACTTTAATTCGAACTTATTTATATTAGCCTCTAAACCTTCTATGATCTGTTCTCTAAAAATTAACTTTGATTTAATATTTCTATATTTCTTTTAAGTTGCTTAGCATAATTCATCTTATTCACGTAATTTAATTAACTCTGATATTATAGTTACTGCAGCAAAAGTTTAGTAATTTATTATCTTTAAAACAATTCAAGTAATCGATATAATAAACCACTATTTACAAAAAAAAATATATTCAAAAGTATTGTTAGAACTTCTATTGAATTTATCAAACAAAAATTTTAATAGTACATGTGAAAT